GCACCTTGGTTCATCTTTCCATCCTCTGGTTAGATCAGCATCATGACAGGTCTCACTCCTCTCTGGGAGAAATGCAGTTGGCATGAGTGATCTCACTGTTTTACATACCTGAACTCTGCCTTTTAGTGCTCTGCTAGGACTGGTTAACCATAGTTAAATCCTAGGCAAGGATCCTTTGACTTCTGAGCTGATACTGGTCATGCAGAGTGCCTTCTCTTGACTAATGCCATCATTTCCTTCTGTCTGTCTGTCTGTCTGTCTGTATCTATCCATCCATCCATCCATCCATCCATCATTATGTATCTATCTATGTATCATCTATCTATGTATCTATGTATCTATGTATCTATCTATGTATCTATCTATCTATCTATCTATCTATCTATCTATCTATCTATCTATCTATCTATCTATCTATCTATCTATCTATCTATCTATCTATCTCTTTCTATCTATCTCTATCTATCTATCTATCTATCTATCTATCTATCTATCTGTTTGTCTGTCTATCCATCCATCCATCCAATATCTATCTGTCCATCCGTCCATCCATCCAATATCTATCTATCCGTCCGTCCATCCATCCGTGTCTGTCTGTCCGTCCATCTATCTAATATCTATCCGTCCGTCCGTCCATCATCCATCCATCCATCCATCCATCCATCCATCCATCCATCCATCCATCCATCCATCCATCCATCCATCCATCTATCTATCTATCTATCTATCTATCTATCTATCTATCTATCTATCTATCTATCTATCTATCTATCTATCTGTCTCTTGAAGACCACCCATCTCACAGAGAAACTCCCACTAATAGTACAGTGAGAACGACATTGGGAGACAGAGGAAGTCCTGCAGAGTGAACAAACTTTCATATAAAATACATCTCAGCCCACAAAAAGAGAGAGGGCATGGGAAGTGTTTCAGAAGGGCCTCCCTAGTTTTCCAGACGCTAAAAGGAAGGAGGGGAGAAATACATTCGGCCTTGCAAGAGTCTTTTAATGTAAGCTTACCATAAAGACAGAGCTAGTGTTCATTGTTGTGTTTTGTGTCTGGACTATTTCAAAGGACTAACAGACAGCTTGCAATACAGGAAGTCACTGCTTTAGAATTGCCTAATTCAATCCCTCCTGCCTATTTATTGCACTCTGCCCTCGCTATATGCATTTTTTAAGTGCTGCTTGGGTGGGGTAGTCGTGACAGTGTTGAACACTCCTGCAATAGAAAACTAGCAGCAGGGAAATTAAATCCCCCTCCACCATCACCCTTTTTTTTGCAGTTTTTTTTTTACACAAGGAAAACATTATTCAGAAATGAAACTTCCCAAATTCTATTTCAGTTTGTTGAACCATCTTATAGAACTGGTGAATCACAGCACTTTGAGAACCAGAAATCATTGTGTAAGCAAACTGTTATGGTACAGCAATGCAAGTGGGGGGGGGAGGGAAATCCCTCCTGCCCGTATATCATGCTCTGTCTTTTCTATAGGCACTCTTCATGAGGTCCTGCTGCTTGAACGGTACAGCTTTGACAATCTAAGAAAATTCTAGTTACTAAAGAATATCTGGGTTGGCTGCAATCACTCTGGGTCACACACACACACACACCCAAAAAAAAAACCCTGAGAAAAGTTTTGTAGGTGGAAACTTCTAGTTTTAATCTCCAGTTTAAGGAAGTTCATGGAATGATAGAGTTGGAAAGATTAGATGTCACCATATGTAGAAAATTCTGAGAAGGTTGGACCACATTAGATGTCAAGGGAGATTCTCAAGTCAGCCAGATCAGGATGGTCCCAGAGGTGCTTTTTCAAAAGGCAACTGGGCTTTTGTTTTTCTTTAAAGTTCTGGAAACCAAAGAACTGAAGAAGCTTCTTGAATGAAAAGCGAAACATCTTCAAAGAAAAACAAAAGCCCAGTTGCCTTTTGAAAAAGCATCTTTGGGGCTACATTACATCTAGCCTTTCATACTATCCTGCAATCTCTATACCTACGTAGGCTTCCATCTCTCTCTGCTCCAGATCTTGCAAAATCACTGCTTTCCAAAGCAAACAGTATTTTGACAGTCTGACCTGCTCTAAAATGCTTTCTTCTTATTTACTCAGTCCCATCAATCCTATCAGGTGGTAGGGGGAAGGAAAAGAGAACATAACATTTATACAGCCTTGGGCTGGCAAGATCTACTTCGCAATTTCTTCTGATTCTCCCAAGCATGTGCCCTGACCACTACCAAGGTCACAAATTCCTTTTGCTTATTTATCTGTTGCTGGTTTTGCTCCAAGCTTATTTTTTCAACAATCTTAAGTTTAGGGAGGAAGAAAATGTGTTGCTTCTGCTCTGCAAATTAAAGTCTGAAAACTTTTTGCCAATCCTGCAAAACAGACTTCAGTACATCTGTCTGACCTGTTTCTGTAGTGTACAGGAATGGGATAAAGTCTCTAACTCTGGCAGTGATTTGATCTGCTAAAAGGTCAACTGGTTCCTTTTTTACGCAGGAAGAATCTGGAAGACTTCGGGTGACCTTGCAATACTTTCCGATCTAGTAGAAAAAATGTAAATAAAGTTCTAGCTTCCTTCTCATAACATAGATCTCCTACCAAACAAATGGGATCTGTTCAGGAAGGTTGCCTTCTCCTATATCCACTAAAATCTCTCAGCTCCTGTTTTTCAAAATCTCGTGTGTCCTCAGGCTGTCCAAAGGTCCTCCAAATTAGATTGATAGTGCCAAATTGGCTCAATGAATGGACAGGTTGAAGCAGATGTGATTCTCACATCCCTGTTAATATGCATGATCCATCACCTCTGCAACAAGGCTAGAATACTTAGAATACTGCATCCAGTTTTGGTCACCATTTTATAAAAAAAAGATGTTGAGGCTCTGGAAAAAGTGCAGAAAAAAGCAGCAAACATGATCAGGGAGCTAAAGGCTAAAACATGAAGAAAAGTTGCAGGAATTGGGTACGTAGGTCTAGTATAGTGAAAAGAAGGATTAGGAGTGACAGGATAGCAGTGTTCTAATATTTGAAGGGCTGCCATAAAGAAGAGGGGGTCAACCTATTTTCCAAAGCACCAGAAAGCAAGAAAAAAACGAATGGATGGAAATTAAGGGGAGAAGCAACCTAGAAGTAAGGAGAAATTTCCTAACAGTGAGAACAATTAACCAGTGGAATGAATTGTCTTCAAAAGTTGTGAGTGCTCCATCACTGGAGACTTTTAAGAAGAGACTGGGCAGCCATTTGTCTGGAATGGTATAGGGCAGGGGTAGCTTGGCTGGGTCAGGGATTCTGGGAGTTGAAGTCCACGAGTCATAAAAGAGCCAAGGTTGCCTATCCCTGGTATAAGGTCTCCAGCCTGAACAGGTTAGACTAGAAGATCTCCAAGGTCTCTTCCAACTCTGTTATTGTTACTCTGTTCTGAACTCTGAGCAAGAGAGCTTCACCTTCAAGAGAAAGAGCTCTGGTGAAGGGTCATCTCCTCTAACTATCAGGAGATTTTCTTGGAAAACAGGGGCAGTCAACTGTTGGGGGTCAATGGTGATGCGCCTGAAATTCTGTGACCACGTCACAGGTGTTATCACAAAACGTTGCAGTGCAATTGGGCTTGGGAGAAGTTCAGGAAGACGCTGCCTATTCACTATTCAATTTGACCAGTCACGAGGGAAAGATTTCATAGAAGACAAATAATGAAATTATCTCCCTCACTGTTTCTAACCACTTGAGAAGTTCCCTACTGTTCCAATCAGTCTTTGTTATCACTGATTTCTCAGCAAAGGGACCCTTTCAAAATATTTTCAAAGTAACTGGGCTGCTAGTATCCATACAGTTGATTTTCTTAGAATATGTATGGGGCCCATTGACTTAAAATTCAATCATAGTTTCATGGAATACAGAATGTACAGGTAGTCCTCAACTTAGAACCACAATTGAACCGCAAATTTATGTTGTTAAGTGAGACATTTGTGAAGTGACGTTTGCCCCATTTTTACCACCTTTCTTGCCATAGTTGTTAAGTGAAACACTGCAATTGTTAAGTTACTGCCAAAAAAGCCAACACAGTGCTGGGCTGCATTAACAGAGGGATAGAATCAAGATCACGTGAAGTATTAATACCACTTTACAATGCCTTGGTAAAGCCACACTTGGAATACTGCATCCAGTTTTGGTCACCACGATGTAAAGAAGATGTTGAGACGCTAGAAAGAGTACAGAGAAGAGCAACAAAGATGATTAGGGGACTGGAGGCTAAAACATATAAGGAATGGTTGCTGGAATTGGGTATGTCTAGTCTAATGAAGAGAAGGACGAGGGGGGACATGATAGCAGTGTTCCAATATCTCAGGGGCTGCCACAAAGAGGGGAGTCAAGCTATTCTCCAAAGTTTTTAAGAAGAGACTGGACAGCCATTGGTCTGAAATGGTATAGGGTTTCCTGCCTGAGCAGGGAGTTGGACTAAATGACCTCCAAAGTCCATTCCAACTTTTTTATTATTATTATTATTATTATTATTATTATTATTATTATTATTATTATTATTATTATTATTATTATTATTATTATTATTATTATATCGTTGTTATCACAGTTGTTCATTGATTTTGCTTGTCACAAGATTGCATAAGGTGATTACATGAGCACTACATTGATCATGTGATCATCTTTTGAGGCACTGCAACTGTCACAAATATGTCAGTTGCCAAATGTCTGAATTTGGATCACATGACCATGATGCTGCAAGGGTCGTAAGTCTGAAAATGGTCGTAAGTCACTTTTTTCAATGCTGTTGTAACTGTGAATGGTCAGTAAATGAACTCTTGTAAGTCAAGGGCTACATGTATTGGGTACCAAGAAAGATACCATTTTCCATCATCTCCACCCCATCATCCTATTTCATTAGCTGTGAACTTATCTATGAACCTGGTTTTTGTTTGACAAAGGAATAGTCAGGCAACGTGCAACACTTGTACAAAAGGCATCAGAACATTCAAGGTTTTTTTTTATATGCTTTATTGTAGTAATGGTTGCAATTAACATGCTCACAAACTACTTTGCATTCAGAAATCCAACGGTCATCCTTGGCACTTCAAAGTTGCTCTTTCCTAAAATGTAGATTATTGGTTTGGGTCTGGCCTGGAAAACGCTTGATCTTCACTGCACTGGTAAATTCTGTCTGTTAAGAAGAAGAAAAGAAACAAAGATTTTCCCCATTTAAAAGAAAATGGAACAGGAGGTTACCAAGATCTTGTGACTTAAGATTCTAATTCTGTCTCTATATCTAACCAGCCACTACATCACTGATTCTTTTACCCACTCCTTCTCTAGTGCTACATATTTTATCATCCAGCAGAAATACCCTTTCTCATCACACATAGAATAAATGTCCAGTTTCACAAGACAGAAAAAAAGAGTCAATATTTGATTGGCAAGAATCAGAAACCAGCAACACCTGCCAGTGTTGTGAAGCCATTCAGCTCCAATAGGGTCTTGATAGCAATGTTTCTCATTTCTGTGATTTGTTGAAAACTATGCTATATTTTATTTATTGGTGCAAGAGTTCTCTTTTTTTTCTGAGACCCAGCTTCCCTTTCTCCTTAGGTTGGAATTATGGGCATGGGCTGCCATTTTTCACTTGAAGATTTTATGGCTGCAGTAGAGTTCAAAACACTTTAAATCCAATTGATCAGTCAACAACAGATCTAAAATGGACGGCACCATACTAGGGCTTTTCAGAGAGCGGCTGCAGTGTGAAATTGCTGTATAGAAATACCAAGAGGTGTGAATTTATTAACTTGGGTTCCATGAGAAAGCAAAAAGGAGGATTAGAGGAAAATAAGGACACCACAGAGAAGCTCAATGCTGTGAAATCTCTGCCTTTACTCCAGAATTTGGTATTTATCAGGAAAGGGAATCAGAGGAACTTAAGGAAGATAAAAGACCTCTTGTGATAAAGACAGGAGATATACTTAAGATATGGCAAGTTCCAATCACTGGACATTGTTGGCTGGAGCTTAGAAGAGCTGTAGCTCAAAATATCTGAAGACAGCAGGCTTGCTATCCTGTCAACTTCATCAACTAGGAAGAATACTATATTACATTCAGCTGAGAAGAGAGAGAACTGTAGAACTGTGTTCCCCAAAACCTGGAGGGCACCACCATTATTCTGTTCATTCTTTCTCAATGGGCCAAAGTGTGGGAAAACATATCTTGCAGGTAATTTGAAGCTTTTCTGACGTTTCTTGACTGCCCTTCTAAAGATTATTGGAAGTAACTTTGGTTGTAGACCATGGTGTGTGTGTTGTGTTGTGTGTGTGTGTGTGTGTGTGTATGTGTGTATCTAAACTTGGCTACTTTAACACTTGTGGACTTCAACTCCCAGAATTCCCCAGCTAGCCTGGCCGGCTGAAGAACTCTGGGAGTTGAAGTCCACAAGTCTTAATGTTGCCAAGCTTGGAGACCCCTGTTGTGGACCATGGGGAGAATATACATTTAACAAGTACCACAGATTGTACACTGATTATACAGATAGCCCTCAATTTACGACTACCATTGAGTCCCAAATTTATATTGCTAAGTAGTTAATTTTGCCCATTTTCTGATCTTTCTTGCCATAGTTGTTAAAGGAACCACTGCAGTTGTTAACTTAGTAACACAGTTGTTAAGTGAATCTGGCTTCCCCACTGTCTTTGCTTGTCAGAAGGTCGCAAAAGGGGAATCACATGACCCTGGGACAATGCAACCGTCATAAATATGAACCAGTTGCCAAGTATCCAAATGTAAATCATGAGGATGCTGCAACGGTCATAACTGTGAAAAATGGTCATAAATCACTTTTTTCACTGTTGTTGTAACTTCAAACATCCACTAAACAGACTGTTGTTAAGTCCAGGACTACCTGTATCCTAATTTACTCTCCCCCTTTTGATTCTATCTTTTTGTCCAACTGCTGAAACCGCAGACCACAAAGCTCTTTTGAAGACCAGGAGATGCAATCTTGCCTAGAACTTTTATAATCCGTCAAAACTCAATTCTCTGAAGGAGAGAACTGGGTTGGATGAAAAGAATTCAGTCATGCTGGGGGAAAAAAAATTAAATTGATTACCTGAGGAGATTAAAGACTTGGGGGGGGGGGAAGTTTTCTTCTTTTCTCAGAAACTAACCTGGCATGTTAATTGTCTCTTTAAAAAAGTAAAAAAAAATTTAAAAAAGCTTTCCCCCACTGCTTGAATGACTACTCATAGTTTAGTTTTAACCCACAAGGTATGTATTTAAAGGCTAGCTTACTAAGAACAAACAATTTGGCTGGAAAGCCCCTTTCTTTGGCTGCCTCAAATTTGCAAAAAAGGTCACAACTCCAAGTTGTGTATTTGAATATTGACACTTCAGAGAGGGGAAGCACCAAATGCAGGAGCCACCGGGGAGATGTAAAAGAAGGTTGGGTTTTCTGCTATTCATACTGAGAGTCCTTTTCCATTTGACCATGACTGAGTAGTTCTCATACATCACATATACCATTACTACTACTATTTGTGATGATGTCAACCATGACCACTGGAAGGAATTAGTGAATGTGCGGAAGTGAGGGGTCCAAAATCCAGGATCAAAGACTTTTGGTATGTTCCTTCAGGATATGAGGATACCCCAAGGAAAGACAAAAGTTGTAACTACCAGGCATGCAAACAACTGTTTTAACTGTTCCTTGCATAATTTGCTATTGAAATTTCGCAATTTTTTTTTTAAATCATCCTTTTGTTCAGTTTTACTGGAGTTTCCAGCAATTTCAGCAAATCTACCCCTTTAACTGATTCATCTGCCCCAGAGGAACTGACCAATTTAGATAGGAATTAAATAGTAATTGTAAAAAAAAACCCACACAGTTTTCCTTGATTTTAGACTGTATGTCTGCTCCAAATCTCTCTAGAAGAACTTTTTGTCTTGTGAAGGAGAGATCTGGAAAAAGTGCACTGGTTATTCTTGTAATGATTGTTACAATGGTCAGCTACATTTTCACTAAGGAGTTCTTTTGTTCTCAATTTGCGCCTTACATCCTCAACTGGTTGATCAGGCCCAGGGCTGAGACCTCAGGAAACTAAAGCTCCATACAGTTTGAATCAATATTCTTCTCAGCCAGTCTCACCATCTTACTAAGGGCAGAAACTTATGTCCTTCCGCTATTTTCATCTACAGTTCTCCTCAGCCCGAGTCAGTGGTCAAGAAGTATAGGTGTCATGTGTCTGATTAACGAAACACTTAAAAGGACTTTCAGGCATAATTTTTCCTAAAAGCATTTATTAAGGTTACAGAGACGTCAGTACAGCATGGTGGAAATGCTTAGGTCTGGCTTCTCTTCCGTTATGCATATACATTCTAAGCATTTCCCACTCCCTTATTTTGGGGTCATGGTTCACATCTTCCAATCAACTTGGAAGATGTGATTTACTTCCGGTTTCTTTCTCCCGGGCTATCCTTATTCTCCTCCCTCTTTCCCAGTTGCTGGTTTAACTATATAAATACCAGACAGTTCTGCATATTGTCAAAGCAAGAATATACAGTATTTGCAGCGTTGACAATAGGAGCTTTAGTCCAAAAGCCACCAGGGGTAACAGGCTACCTATCCTTGTTCCAAACGTTCATGGATATTTCCCTAGTTTGGACACCTCAGCCCATGTCATCAGTTGCATTAACTAAACAGTAATACTTCAAAATATATTTGTGGTCCAGCTGGTGCTCCAGAGGATTTAATTAACAGCTCTGAATGGATTGAAGCACTTAATGTAAGCAATTGCCCAAAGTCTGTAGTTCTGACAACAAACAACCAGTGTTTACTTACCCTTGATTCCTTTAGTATCTTTAGCTGGGAATTCTCCAAGTTAAATTTCAATAAGAGGAAACTGGAAAACAAAGAAAAAGAGAAACATCACCACTAAAGAAACAAATAAGGCTATTGGTCTTCGTATCATTCTCTACCAAATTAAATATTGTCCAATCCTACATTTGGTTTCTAAAGCTAACTTGGATAAATGCCATTATTTGGAAACTTAAAGATAGGCAACGTATTAGGTAAAACTCTCTAAAAATGGAATATGAGGCACTAAAGTGATGGGCTTGCAAAAAAGGCAAATGCAACTTGAATCTGGGCTAACTTACAGCAGGTGTCCAATTTAGCAAATAAAAAAATAAAAATCCAGGACCCATGACTCTTTAGGGAATGACATTTGGGAAAGCTGTGGCTGCTTCAGTGCTACTGGCCGCTACTGCTGCACTGCTCCGTTGTGCTGCAGTTACATGATTTACATTTTCAACATTCTGTGGCAATTTCCCAGCCAATCTTGCAATCCCTCATTTGCTCACCCATCTAGAAGCAGCCAGTTAACTGACTGCTGGGAAGGGGAGGGGAGGGGAATGGATTCCCACAAAGAATCAGTGGGGAAGCCAGCAGGAAGTCGGAAGTCACTTGCTTTGGTCATTCTGTTTCTTTGTTTAGATAAGAAAACATCTCTGAAACAATGCATGGATTATTATTGGGCAGAGTTAGACTCCATTGCTTAAATGACTCTCCAGGCTTTCAGTAAAGAGAGCTCTGTTTTCTTAGAATTGTTTTAACAAAAGCAGAAGAACAAGCAGAACTTTATCTAACTGGAAGCAGCCACTGATTCATTTACCTTGGAACACCTTAAGAAAAAAAAAACATGGCAGTTGCCAAGCCCAAACTTTTCATCACATGACTGTGGGGATGCTGCAACAGTTCTAAGTGTGAAGATCTGTCGTAAGTCACTTTTTTCAGTGCTGTTGTGACTTGCGATAGTCATTAAATGAATGGTTGAAAGTCAAGGACTACCCATATTATATAAGTTTGCAGCCTGGAGTCAGTTATAAAGTAATATGTAATTAAGTAATCTCTCTGAGAAGATGGGTGGTTCAGAAATGTGAAAAACAAATAAATAAAGACAAGGTAAAAAATCTAATAAATACATAAATGAATACATAAATCTTGCAAATGTTTACTGTATCTAAAGAACTGGGGAACAGAAAGACAAAAAGGCAATCTAACCCAGCTAAGTGCTGTTCCATCTCTACATCACTCTTTCTGATTCAATCATGTCATTTCCATCACTTATCTAATGGGACTTTCTCTGGCCATTGTGCACTGTTCCAAAATCTGCAAAAAGCAAGAGAAGAAAAGGGAGTGTAATTACAGATTAACCTCAAAGATACCATTCAGAACAGTAATTGTTCAACGTTATTATTATTATTTTTAGAATTATGTTCCACAATCTTCTCATTTTTCTGCACAACAAACCTGTGAAGTTGGTTGGGATGAGTGAGAATGACTCGCCCCCCCCCCCAATAACCCAAGAAGTCAGGGTGGACTTATTGTGATCTTGTGGGAAAACCCAGAGGAGGGATCCAATAAACGACCTAAGAGCCATTGCTATGTCATAATGCTCACCAATCTACTGCAGTTACTGAAAACAGTGAACAGCCATTCAAAACATACAGTTGAAATGCAATGCAGTAAAATGTTGATGGAAGCATCATGAAATTCCCAAAAGAAGAGAAATGAATTATGAATATGTCAGAATTATGAATATGTCAGAATTCAAAGAAATAGCAAATTCTGAGAACTACCGGATCAGGAAAAACACCGAAACTGTTATTTTTGAACACAGTCTTCAACTTACAAGCACATTTGAGCCCCAAATTTTCATTGTTAAGCACTGTTAAGTGAGTTTTGCCCCATTTTACAACATTTTTGCCCCAGTTGTTAAGCGAATGCCTGCAGTTGTTTTTAAGCAACGCCAGCTTCCCCAATTGACTTTGTTGCTTGTCAGAAGCTAGGTGGGAAGGTTACAAGTGGTGATCACATAAACCTGGGACAATGCAATTGTCATAAATATGTGCCAGTTGCCAAGCGCCTGAACTTTGATCACATGAACTGGTTGTAAGTATGAAAACTAGTCGTAAGTCACTTTTTCCAATGCTGTTGTAACTTTGAGCTGTCACTAAATGAACGGTTGTAAGTCAAGTACCTGTACAGACATTTTGAAATAAAATTTAAAAGATTAATTTGTACAATAATGAAAATTGGAAGATTAAGAAAGATGTGAATTTTGGAAGAGGCTGGAAGGGCGTGTAGAACATCTAACAGAAAAGAAGAACAGTAAGAGTGTAATTGTTGAAAAGAAGGTTGAAATGATGTTGGAAATCATTTGTGTATTCTTTTAATTTTAGTTTCCTTTTTCATCCCTTGCACTTTTTTGTTTTTCTCTTTTTTCAATTTGTCTTTTATCCTATGATTTTTTTAAAATAAATATACATTTAAAAAATGCAAGACAGTACTATAAAATCCATCATGTAAGCCGATTTTAAATAAACAAAATTGGTTTGACACAGGTTAACAAATTTGCAGCACCAGGATGTGGCTCTTGCCTGGAAGAACTTTGCAACCCTTTTAGTTATATTCAGACTTTCATCTGAAAAGGAACAAGTAACGTAGAATAAACCATTTCTGTTTAGGAACCTTTGAAGTGGTGGGCCCATATCAGGGGTGGGCAACTTAGCATCTTTAAGACTTGTGGACTTCAACTCCCAGAATTCTTCAGCCAGCCTACTTCCTTATATCTCAATACAGAGTACAATACAGAAGGTCAGCAGTAATAGTTTCCAAAGGCTCAGTCATAAAAACAAAACTATTGCACTGAGACTCATTAATATAGATCAGAGGTAGTCAACCTTGGCTCTTTTATGACTCATGGACTACAACTCCCAGAATTCTTAAGCCAGCCAAGCTGGCTCAGGAATTCTGGGAGTTGAAGTCCACGAGTCATAAAAGAGCCAAGGTTGACTACCCCTGATATAGATGAATATATCTATTATCTAGATATAGATAATATAGTACATTAAAACAAGTTTTGCTAAAGGTGAGTGTAAACGAATTTTTGCTCTTTGTTGTTGACATTTACAGCACAAGGAATTGCAGCATGACAATATAAAAGGAAAATTCCTTCTATTGGTGGTAGCTGATGACAGCCAATTTGCTGTAGTGGTTACGGCACCAGGCTAGAAAGCTGGAGACTGGGAATTCTAGTCCCACCTTAGGCATCAAAGCCCGCTGGGAGATCTTGGGCCAACCACCAGGAGGCCGTGAGTTCTAGTCCCACCTAAGGCATCAAAACCGGCTGGGTGACTTTGGGCCAATCACCAGGAGACTGTGACTTCTAGTCCTGCCTTAGGCATGAAAGCTGGCTGGGTGACTTTGGACCAGTTCCTTTCTCTCAGCCCTAGGAAGGAGGAGAGAATGACAAACCACTTCTGAAATTTTGCCAAGAGAACTGCAGGTACCATGCAGTTGCCAGGAATCCAAAACTGACTTAAAGGCACCTAACAAACAAACAAAAAAGAAGAAATATTAGATGTTGGCAAAGATGATCCTCATAACTTTTGCTATTCTTGGCAAGCAGCGTACCGTTCAAGCCCTTTCGGGTAGGCCTCAAAGGACTATCAGATCTGATTGGTCCTTGTGGGTAATTTCTCCGGTTGTGTGATCTTTGATGGGGACAGACGTACCAAAGGAACAAGGGGGAACAGAAACACCGGTGTGCTTCTGGGGCTGCAGGCCCACTGCAGGCCCACTCCTGCAAGCTGCCAAGTGACTTAGCTGACTGGAGTGGCACTTATAACAAAAGAAGAGCCCTTCACGTCTTCCGTCTTGGCAGGAAAAGTGCCCGTTCCTGTTTCTTTAAAGCCAAGCTGTTATTTTATGAAGATCACAGCCGTTCAGGTAAGGGTTGGCGCAGGAAAGGCAAAGCAAACGGAAGCAACCGTTCAATATTTAGCCCCTGGAAGCTGCACAGCATCCACCGTGCTGTGAATACAGGTCGCCCTCAGCTTACGGCCATTCGTTTAGTGACCGTTCAAAGTTACAACGGCACTGAAAAAAAGCGACTTACAGCCGTTTTCACCCTTACGACCACTGCAGCCTCCCCGCGGTCACGTGATCAAAATCCAGACGCTTGGCAAGTGGTTCATATTTCTGACGGTTGCCGTGCCCCCGGGATCACGTGATCCCCTTTTGCGACCTAATCCTCACCCTGGAAACTTGCAGACGAAATCCATTTATTTACACTACATGAGCGATTAACTTCCAGGGACAGGAAGAAATAGCACAGTACTTCCCCACCCTGAGACAAAAGGCTACTGTTGTTGTTTTTTTAAAGTAGTGCTCTTTTGATGGACAACCTGAGCGACTTTATCTTCAAAAGATTATGTATCCCTTTTGCTGCTTTTCAGGGAGATGATAGCACTTTATTTCCAAGAAGGACTGATGCCGTCACCTTGCTAATTCTGAGGAAACACAGGCCCTGGTAGGGCCTGAAGGGAGTATGCTCTATGGAAAATTATGTCAAGTCCCTTTTAGGGTAAAAGACATTAAGAGAACAAAGACCCTGAGGCTAGGATTAACAGAATAACAGAGTTGGAAGGGATCTTGGAGGTCTTCTAGTCCAACCCCCTGCTCAAGCAGGAGACCCTATACCATTTCAAATAATTTTCCAATCTTTTCCATAAAACCTCCAGTATTGGAGCACCCACAACTTCCGGAGGCAAGCCATTCCACTGGTTTATTGTTCTTGTTGTTGTTAGTTGCGAAGTCGTGTCCGACCCATCGTGACCCCATGGACAACGTTCCTCCAAGCCTTCCTGTCCTCTACCATCTTCTGGAGTTTATTTAAGTTCACTCCTACTGCTTCAGTGACTCCATCCAGCCACCTCATTCTCTGTCGTCCCCTTCTTCTATTGCCCTCGATCTTTCCCAGCATTAGGCTCTTCTCCAGTGAGTCCTTTCTTCTCATTAGGTGGCCAAAGTATTTGAGTTTCAACTTCAGGATCTGGCCTTCTAAAGAGCAGTCGGGCTTGATCTCCTCTAGGACTGATCGGTTTGATCGCCTTGCAATCCAGGGGACTCGCAGGAGTCTTCTCCAGCACCATATTGTTCTAACTGTCAGGAATTTTCTCCTTAGTTCTAGGTTGGTTCTCTTCTTGATTATTTGTATCTGTTGCTTCTTGTCCTGCCTTCAGGTGTTTTGGAGAATAACTTGACTCCCTCTTTGTTGGGGCAGCCCCTGAGATATTGGAACACTGCTATTATGTCAATTCTAGTCCTTCTTATCATTAAACTAAACATACCCAATTCCTGCCATTGTTCTTTGTATGTTTTAGCCTCCAGAGCTCTTCTCTGTACTCTTTCTAGAATCTCAATATCTTTTTTATATCAT